AAAAAAAGACCCACTGGAAAATCTTATCGCATGTAGTTCCACTTTGGCCCACGTGGGGTCGCTGTGAGTCAGACTTGACTCGATGGCCACAGGTCTCAGGTTTGGATGCCTAATAGAAGCCCAAGGAAATCCTGGTTCCCTGTCTGACAATGTGTGCTTTCTGGATGCCGCTGGCCTGCGTGTTTTCTTGCCTGTCTTGTGTGTGATCTCTGTGACCTGTCCCGCCCCCACTGACCTGTCTTTGCCCACAGGTGCCCGCCAGGCTGGGTGGGTGAGTGGTGTCAGTGGGAAGACCCCTGCCGCTCAAGCCCTTGTGCTGGCCGAGGCGTGTGCCAGAGCTCGTTCGTGACGGGCACTGCTCACTTCTCTTGTCGATGCCCCCGAGGTTTCCAAGGTGAGGGGTGTGTGTGTGTGCGTGCTGGCGGGGCTTCTGAGGCAGGTGAGGCTGTGACCCATCCTAAGTGCATCCTTCCCTGGCTTCTCCAGGCCCTGACTGCTCCCTGCCAGATCCGTGCCTCAGCAATCCCTGTGCCCACGGTGCCCGCTGCTCGGTGGGGCCTGACGGACGCCATGTCTGCTCCTGCCCGGAGGGCTACCAGGGCCGCAGCTGCCGCAGTGACGTGGACGAGTGCCGGGGGGGTGGGCCCTGCCACCATGGGGCCACCTGCCTCAACACACCCGGCTCCTTCCTCTGCCAGTGCCCGGCCAGCTACACGGGGCCCCTGTGTGAGAGCCTCGTGGTGCCCTGTGCCCCCTCGCCGTGCCGGAACGGGGGCACCTGCCGGCAGAGTGGGGAGCATGCCTATGACTGCGCCTGCCTCCCCGGTGAGTGAGTCATGCTCTGGTCGCGACGCTGGCTCAGCCCTGCTTGTCTTATTTTTCTAATCTTCCTGTAACCAAACTACCACGAGGAGGTGGCTTTACTGAACAGAAAGAGATTTTCTCACAGTTCAGGAAGTGAGCCGTCTGCTGGCTCTGGGGGAAAGTTCTTGTCTCTCTTCCTTGGTGCTCTGGTGATCTCCACACGGAATCCTCCATCCCCTGAGTCTCCTGGCTTCATGCCTCTCTGCTCCTTTTTAATCACTCAGAAGGGATTGGTTGAAGATACATCCTACCCTTAACATAACAGAGAAAGCCCCCTGTTCAAATAAGGTGATAGCCATGGGTATTGGGGGTTAGTTATACCATCTATAGTTGGGGGACACAGCCCAATGCATGACAGTAACACTGCCCCCACCCCCCACGCCAGGGTTTGAGGGCCCAAACTGTGAAGTGAACGTGGACGACTGTCCGGGACACCGGTGTCTCAATGGAGGGACATGTGTGGATGGCGTGAACACCTACAACTGCCAGTGTCCCCCCGAGTGGACAGGTGGGCTCTGCCCCCCTCACCCTCCATCCCCTCACCCCCACCCCCAGGAGGTGGAGGGAGCCAGGTGGTGGGCCCTTGGGTGGGGATGCCACCAGGGGGCTGGGTTGGAATGTCTGTACGCCACAGGCCAGTTCTGCACGGAGGACGTGGATGAATGCCAGCTGCAGCCCAATGCCTGCCACAACGGGGGCACCTGCTTCAACACCCTGGGGGGCCACAGCTGCGTGTGTGTCAACGGGTGGACCGGCGAGAGCTGTAGTCAGAACATCGATGACTGCGCCACGGCCGTGTGCTTCCAAGGCGCCACCTGCCACGACCGCGTGGCTTCCTTCTACTGTGCCTGCCCCATGGGCAAGACCGGTGAGTGGCCCTGTCCCCTGTGGGTGGCAGGGGGCCATCCTTGACTCTCAAGCGCTGCATGGACAGAGTTGGACTTGAGTAGCATTGCCAGAAGAAGCCAGCTCCTAGCACAATCACTACGGGTTTGGTAGGCGCAATTGTACAGCGATAATAAGTAAATATTATAGTAA